ACTAAAACCATAAATTGTACCCCGATGAGATCGAAGCAGGCCTCGCGACTCAAGATCACAACGTCACGAGATCATTTTAGGGAATATTGAGCACAAAGCATGTGTCATAACTTACGGACCACGAGCTTTTGTGTGATGAATATGCATCATTTGTATCATTGCGCTAGTTAATGGAACACACAAGTCAGTCTTACCCTCGCGTCGTCAAGTTTTAAAGTTGTAGAGGCAGTATCTCAAAACCACTTGTCAGATCCAGAAAAAATTCAAAAAATATTGATGGTACCATATAGCCTTTGAAAAAGTTCATATCAAAATCTGGGACAAGAGAGCACTATGTCCCAGTTAACCCGCGCTTGGTACACCACATACAATTACTATATACCACGAATATCTTGCGATGTCATGAAGACCATTTAATCCGATCTTAGCCCTAGACATACCTGTGGGAGGGCGACACAGGCCTAACGTCTGCCCCCTTCCGCCGCGACCGCTGCCGGAGGCTGCACTCAACAGGTCGGTCCCCGGCCAACTGGGCGGTCCTCTCCGCCCGCCCAGATCGTTACAGTCGCGGACGATCAATGCCACGCCCCCGCCGTCAGAGCTGGCCCGCGGGCAGTACGTCACGCGCGCAGTCCCTGTCCCGGACTGGTCAGCTGATGCGCATTTCGTCGAGATTGCGTGCGCTTCCGCGAAGCGCCGGACTGCCAGCCCACTTGTTAATTCGACCAACAGGCCCTAGGCAGAGATGGAGACCGCTCTTGGAAATTGGGTGGGGAGGGGCCTGTCCAGGATCCAGGCGCCTCGAGCCCTTACGACCCGATCAACCGCAAGAGAGCCCGCTCCCCTTCCCCAACTTGAGAACATCTCGGTTTTTAGGCCACTTCATTTTGAGAGCGGCACACCGATCTCAATTTTTGAAAAGATCTTAAGCTTTTTGTGAAAACCCGCGCGCAGGCTTGGAGGCAGCTGGAAGCTTGTGACACTTTTTGAGTTGCCGAAGGTACACGACATTTTGGCTTAAGCTTATACAGTTTTTGCCGTTTGGACGATTACCTGATGTGTTTAAGCCAGTTTATTACGGCGTAATGGACAGCAGACCGATCCTACTCAATGACCCGTTTCATACAAAAGCTCACCTGTCTTTCATTGCGCATGTTGACGCACCAAAGGCGCGCATTCTTTTCTCTAGCATCCAAGCCTATTTGGATGATAGTCTGTTACCTTGTTACAACTTGTCTACATTTTATCATCCCCTCATCAATGTAGTCGCAGCTAAAATGATACTGGATCCATTTCGCTTTTGGTGCTAGTTTGCACAGTCAAAACAAGTTGAATATCTTTTGTATCTCCTTGTGTGCTAAGGTATTTAGTTTTGAATTAGATCGTCTACGAATGATTAACATTCCCAAAGAGACCCAGAGAAAGCCACCAGTATCTTTCTGTGCCTAAGGCCCGCGGAGATTTGGGCAATTCCGCAACATTCGTGTTGATCAGCAGCACCGCTCCGAAAAGCAAAATTCCGTTCGAATTATTCCGACTTCAGTTGAGTGTTCGACAGGTATCTTGAGTATTTCCGGGGAGCTCGAAGTATGTCAGATTTGTGTGTGACGGTACCGGAACTCTTCTGGTCGATTCAGGGGTCCAGTCTTGTAGTCATGAATTTTAGCACATAGGTTGCCTATGGTGCTGCCGTAATGACTTATTTAATTCACTTGGCTACACTTACTACCTTAATTGACAGCAAAAATCTCGTTTTTACTTTTTCATTCATTCCGGCCACTTTTCTCTGCGCTGCCCGCCCCGAAAATATCCCTTCTAGGGGGCAGCCTGGACCCGCCGGACCCGCTCTTCAGAACCCCAGGTTCAATGCAGACGGCTCGTGAGGTTTTCCGGGGCCTGGGGCCTTTCCAGAGGGCCTTACGAGATTTCCAGCCATGTGCTGAGTTCCAGCCTGAGGGGTAGGTCAGGCGCCGAAAGGCTTTTTAGTGGAAAGAGTGACCAATCGCTGGCTGGACAGGCCTTTGAGCGACAAGAAGGGCGCTGAAAAGAGAGCCCTTGACGTGTACTTCTACCACTGAGTGTCCAGAGAGCCCCTGAACGGTCGGAGCAGCAAATAAGCAACAAAAATATCCCCTTTGGAGCCAGAACGACTCTCAGGAGTACGTCTCTTCTCGTGCCTCTTGGAGGCGGTATAGGAGCGGCGAAAGGTGCCCCGAAGTGCTAATAAAACCATTGAGATTCCGGAGTATAGCGAGTGCACGGCTAAATAACCCGGCGACCAAACGGGCCATTGAACAGACCAGTGGGTCCTGGGTAGCCAGATTAGCACTAAAGTGGTCGGATGGGCCTTTGAGCGATTAGAGGTGTCCGTTGGTGGCCGGAGGACCCTCAGGCGGTCACTGGAGCCCCCGAACAGTCACCGGAAACGCCGTTGGTCAGGAACTCCTCACTGGCCAGAGGGGTCCTCTGTCAACACAGCGGGCCTGAGGAGCTGGAACGGCGCAGGAGCGACGTTGGGTACATAGAGGTCTGCAGGGGCGCAGCCAGAGTCTTGCTAATAGGATGCACAGGGTTGACGAATGCCCTCTGATAGTGAAAGGCCCCTAAACACAAAGTACCGGATATGGCGCACCCGATTCGAGGAGGGTCATATTCTTGACTTTATTGTTCTTTTCCATATTTAATGCAAACAGGTCAGAAGTCCCCGAAAGATATAATTTTCTCTTGTATTTTGAGGTCAACAAACTAAAAAGCACGTGCATTAAATGACTGCATGGAATAAAGCGCCGGTGCTATTCATTTCACAATGGCTCAGTTAACTCACTCTAAAACGATAGTACTAAGCGGTGGGCTTTCTCGGAATTGTTGCCGAATTCTATGCAGAGATATTGAGGACCCGTGATGTACATTGTAGATCGAAATAGGTCAAAATTGTGTCAACATGGCCAAGTCACGTTCCTCTGTAGATGTTAAACCTGCGTTTAGAGTTGGGCAATTACAAGTTGTGTAAGATAGTTATGAACACACACGCTCGCCAGTCTGGACCAAAAACGACATCCGGCGTAGCATTCTCCGTATGTTGCGTGGTGTCAGCCTGCGGCAGCATTAGGTGGCGGCCACTGGACTGGGCGAAAACGATGGTGTATCTGAAAAAGAAGCCTTTGAACGTTTTAGGACACCAGTGAAAACGTTTAGTCCAAATGTTTATTTCATCTATGCAATCCCTAGATTGATCACAGGAACGGATTAGTAGCGCCGCGAGGTAGTGCTGAAATATTGTGGTGGAACTGGAAAAGTAAAGGTCTAACCTTTACATTTGGTGCTGCTACAACCGTCATTTGCTCAGAGGACAACCTTAAAACGAAGCGGGTCAAGTAAACAGTCCAGTCTAGTCTTTGAACGATAAGAATTGATAGCGGAAAACTTTCGGCAGCATTATTTCACGACTGTCGACCTTGCGCGCCCGGCTTCCGCCGCCTGACGTCGGCTGCAGAATGTCGGCTGCCGGTCATAAGACGGCAAGCGCAGGCTCCAAAAATAATGTCGTCTAATTAGTTTTATTAGTCGATTCTGTAACAGATTGGACTTAGTGAGGCTACCGTAAGTTGTCTTCTCTTATCTTTGACCACACTTCTATCCGCCCTTTTAGCGCTGGGGAGACCTCTTACCTTTTCCGGAAACGGAGCCTGTGGGTGGCACACTGGGGGGAGGGGGGGGGGGGGTACATTGCCCCTTCCGGAAGGTCAGGGACTGAAGGGCCGTTCTCTCCCAGTGTGGCTGAAGCCTGAACTGCGAGGGCGTAGCTGTGAACTGCAGGGAAGGTTCTCGAAAATTGTGTTCATCTGCCCGAAAGCTCATACAAGCGTGAAGCAGTCCCTGTAACGCAATATCAAATATACCACACCACCAGACGCTCAGGTCAGGGTATACATTGCTACCTCATGTTAAGAAAGAGCGATGTACATCAGCATCAGCATCAGAGCTACATCAGAGCATCGTCGTTTTTAACGCAGCACATATCGTAATTAACCGTAAAACAGGTCATCTAAGCTCTTACCTTGGAACTTAAATAACTACGATAGCGAACATCCGAGCGCAAACACGCAGGCAACCACGGCCCCCGGCGCCATTTCTACGCGTGATCGCAACATTACTGCGCGATCACAACATTACTGCTTATCAAGAACTATAAAAATGTATGAGGCCGAGGTAACAAGAATTCAATAAAATGTGTTTCTTGCGTATCGAAGCAGTCTTCCGTATTGTTTGTAGATTGGTCAACATGGTGGGGAAATATGACGTTGTTCCGTGGGAATGAAAAGCAAAATGAGAATATGGCGGCTAAACAAAACTCCTTGATACGGTACATATAATATGACATGGAACATGGATGCCAGTGGGACATTGGGTTGAAGGGGATAGGGGTGGGGGTTATGTTAGGTTAGGTTTAGGTTAGGTTAGGTTAGGTTAGGTTAGGTTAGGTTAGGTTAGGTTAGGTTAGGTTAGGTAGGTTAGGTAAGGTTAGGTTAGGCTAGGTGAGGTTAGGTTAAGGTTGTTAGGCTACATTAGGTTAGGTTGCATTAGGTTAGGTTAGCTTAGGCTAGGCTAGTTTAGTTTAGTTTAGTTTAGGCTATGTTCTGGACTTTTCTGGCCTGTCCGTTTCATAAACGTACCTAGACGCGATAAGAAATGTTTTTCATTGCATTAATATTGCTACCTTGGTCCCGTACATTTTTTATAGTTCTTGATAACCAGAAATATTGTAATTACGCAACAGCAAGGCAGTGAAGGTAGGAGCATGAATCTATCTGTTTTAAGATTATTGACGGTATGTTCCGCCTTAAACACGACGAATGGTGTACGATGATTTTTCTAAACGTTGCGTAGGCATATATATCTACACTGACGCTCAACTACAAAAAATATCAGGGCCAAACGGTAGCACACAATCTGCAGAAAGTACGCTCCAGTCTGAGACTAACCCAGGGTGTTTCTGGCACTAAACACGTCGCTCCGTCCCACTGAATCGCATTTTGTTCAGCTGACCAGTTAGTGGAGTCGCGTGCCCCACTGAGGTACAGCCTTAATGCAAACAGGCAAACTTGTGATCCGTCGTTGCTCTCATGCCGGTGCGTCATCCTCTATGCGCACATGACATTACTCGCGAGCTTCACTCAGAGGTGACACTTGAGGAGCCACTCGGCCGCCTCCGCGGTTCTCAGCACGCGGGGCATCTTGAACTGGGTGGGACTGGCGGTCGTGGTTGCCAGCAAGTGGTCCCGGAAGCGGCGGAACGCGCCCGCCGGCAGCTGACGGACGACAACCGGGCATACGCGCTCCCGCCGCCGACTGTTGTCGTAGCTCGCGTGCCGCCGTCGTAGCGTCTCGTCCACCTGCGGAGAGGCGCGAGCTGTCGGTGTGGGCCGCAGTTGTGGCCAGGCCTCCCACCAGGGGCGGGGGGTATTGCGTGGTGTAGCCGGGGCAGGTGTTTGCGTTTGAATTTTGGTGCAATATTTCGCACCTTGTTGCCTGAATGTCTTCCAAGATCTTCAGCTATTTTGGCAGTTCTTAAGCACATTTGGGCTATGTATGGGGCCTGCGTCATATCAGCGTGACTACCACGAGGCTACTACGAATCGTCTACCAAATAATGTTGTTAGACAAAGTAGAAGATCATACAAACTCGCAACCACGCATTTTTTGACATACATTGTGTTCATACAACCAGTGAACGTTCGGGAATATCGCTAGAACGTCCTTCAACGGCCTGCTCAGCTCCGCTGGCTGCGTGGTCTCACCAGTTTGGTCTGTTCGTCAGACAGCAGCGGTCCGTCCAGCTCTACAAACAGATGGAAGTGGGGAGCCAGCTGATGCTCGGAGAGCGGCAGCAGCTGACTGGGAGCGACCGTATAGTCCACGAGGTGCACGTCCGTTGGCCAGAGGGCAAGCGCATCCTCCAGCGCCTCGAAGAACACCTTCTCCGATACCATCTCGTCGCTTGCGTTCAGTATGTACCCAGCGCTGCAGGTGAAATAATCGTGGCAGCGTGTGACCTTGAAAAGTTGGCAGCTGCTATATTGTTTTCTACCAGTAAGAATCCAACTATAAAGGAAAAACCAAGCCATTTTGCTACCTTAATTATAACGTAAAAAGCGGTTTAAGGGAAACAGTTTTTACTTCATACAAAAGCTGTACCTTGGAAGAATATTCTTTCTCGAAACCTGCCAGCTGGTGCTCTAAGGATGCACTTGAAGACGGAAGCCAAGAGCCTCTCGCAAAAACGCACGCACGCACGCACGCACACCACTCACCGGTATAATATTTCCACCTGTGGTGTGCGGTTGAAGTACCCGGCGAAGCGGACAACGTCTCCGAGTCTGTAGCGACACAAACCACCCCTGGTGGTGACGATGAGCTCGTACTCGCCGCCTTCCTGCAGCTGGTCGGCCAGCAGCGGCTCCTGCCGACCGATCTCCGCCAGTTCCTGGATCCGGTCGTCCACCACCGGCAGGAACTCGAAGAAGGCCGCTTTAGGCATAAGGGTGTAGACGGGTCGCTCGGGGCGCCGGAAGTCTGTGATGGCGGCCACGAGGCCGACCTCTGTGCAGCCGTACACCTGCGCGATCACCGGCACGTTGCCAGCGTACAGCGCCATCTCACGGTGATAAGCTGCGTTCGTCAGCCCGGCGAACGCGCCCATGACGAACCGCAGCTCCGGCCAGAGGCGCGGTAGAAGGCCGGTCAGTCCCCCTGCGAACGCCTGCTGCACTTCGTCGGCGCGCGCAGGCAGCGGCTTCAGCTGGGTCTCGAGCTGCGCACGTACGGCGACAGGGATGGCGA